TTGTTGATTTTTTTTTTCTTTTAATGAAGGCACCTGGTTCCCTTAAGCTTAGGGCTCTCAAAAGGCTGAGGGCTGAGCTAGTGGAAGAGAACAGAGATGTGCTGGGGGGACTGTAAAGCTTGAGTCTTTCCAGGGCTGCCGCTAGCTCACCCTCTCCCCAGCACCTGGGCCAGGGGCTGCCCTGGTCCTCTTGCAGGATGAGAGGCTTTGTAGGAAAGACAGTAACCTGGCTGTGCAGATCCTCAGATAGGGATACTCCCCAGCCCTCTTGCAGGACAGCCCACAGCGGGCATTCTTCAGCTGGGGGGGGGCTCCCACTGCCATCGCTTAGACACAGCCCAGGGATGGGGAAGGGCAGGAGGGCCAGTGTGTGCCTCTAGGGCATACCCCAGGTGTGGGGGCTAGAGGGTAAATACTCTGCCCAGCCTTTCAGGGGAAATTCTGGAAGAGCCCAGCAAAATGGGGCTCTCATTGCCTACACCTGTGATCTCCTTCTAATCTCTCCCTACTCCCTCCCTCCTGGCTCTGCACTGTCATCTCTGAGGGCCGCAGGGTTAAGCACAGCAGGCTGTCTGCAGATACCGATGGACCATGGGAATCTGCTTGCTTTGTTCCCAGAGAGGCTCTCCCACTGCTGGATTTCTATGCTGTGACCCAGAGTCAATCTTAGGCACAACCTAGGTGTCCCACCTCAGGTCCCCACTCTTTGGGCATTTATTTCTAACCTCTGACAGCTTTCATCAGAGAATAAAAGGGGGCTTTGATGGGTCTGGAGCAGCAGCTCCATCAAGTGAAGCAGCATTTGCAGTTGATGAAGCAGCACCTGGAGTTCCCAGCAGCACAGACAGAGCTCCCAGGGGTCCCCAAGGAGGTAATGTGGAGAGCAGTGTTTGTAGGGTGATAAGCAGTGACCCATTTCTGCAGAAACCTGACATCTGGGGCTTGGAGGAGATGTCCCCACTCAGACATTTGATCCTTTCATTAGATCTTGGCCCATATTTTAGATCTTAGAGACAGGGTCAATATACCTTTGGAGTCTGATCATAGTGTTAGTTATAATTATGAGCAAATTAAACAATAAACAAATGTCCTAGAAATGGGAAGAATAGTTAACCTGGGCATTGGTGTTCTTTTTGGAATCAGGGCTGGAAGAAATGTTGGAGTTGAGACTTTATCACTTCTGGGACCAGCCCCCAGCCACAGGCTGGCTCAAGTATGTATTTGCTGACCACATAGACCGAGTCATCTTGTTGACTTGGCCCAGAATCTGATACACTGCAGGGATTCCCTGGATAAGCATAGGGTGAAGGGACACTTCCCTGGAGGGGTCACTCTGGGTGAAGATGACAAGGCTCAGTCAAAACCATTTATAATGTTGGATACTGATATAAAATCATCATCATGAATGCTAAAATCATCACATGTAGTCCATAGTGCTTTTTGTATGCATTGTTCCGTAAATTGTTTGTGCCTAGGCAAATTTTATACTTCGAGTGTATTATTTAATTTAAAAAATAAACTCACTTTTTTGTAAAGAATGTTCTGTTGTTAAGAATCAGAAAGGGGTTTGGGGCTGGCTCTCTGGGCCTTGTGGTTGGGGCCCTCAGAGAGCTCGCTGTTGGAGAGAGTGGCATAGGGTTGGTGGAGTGTAGTTGGCATCAGCCATACCCCTGGGAAAGCTACTCTTCTTAGGCTGGCAGTGATGGGGTCTTCCGTGGTCGGTCTCTGGGGGATGGCATCATAATCTACGGTTTCAAAAAGCAAGTTGGAAAGGACAAAAGCATCTATTTTCAAAACACTACAAGATTTTTATGATTATCCAAAAAGGAGGATTTATATTCTTAAAAAGTTGAGAAAGTCTACTTTAGAAATTTCTGTGCTTTGGCTTTATGAACAGTGTCAATCACTTTAAAAAGTGTATGGGCTGAGCATTTAAAACAATAAAAGACTTAATACATGCAAAACCAAAGAGACAGGCCCAAACACCGAGACTTCAGTGGTCAAGGTCAGAGGGGCTGACTTTATCTCTGGTGTCTGAGGACTGAAGTTTAAAATACTGCTCTTTTTAAGCGTTGTTGCCTACTGGGATACACTTCTATTTAGTTGTAGAATTACTCTCTATTTACATTTCTCATGGGACAAAGTGGCTTCTGTTGGGAATACTTGGGTCAGAGGTTGGTGAATGACACACCCAGGCCCCAAGTCCATCCCTTTACACGGGAGAGTGCAGTGAGAGATGGTGGGATGCAGTAGAAAATCTAGGTTCAAATCATACTGCTTCATTGTCTAGCTGTGTGACATTGGCCAGGTCACTTAACATCTTTAGCCTTAGTTTCCGGATCTGTAAAATGGGGGCAGTTCAGTTCCCTCATAGGATGACTATGAAGATTGCATGTGATATGTTGAGAGCTCTAACTGTAATGCCTGGCATATGGGAGAAGTCTGGGCTGTGTGTGTGTGTGGGTGGGTGGGGTCATGATTGAACTACACCCAATTGCTCTTCCCCCTGCAGCAGGGCTCAACAGTGGCACGATTGCCAGAGGGATCAGTGAAAGACAGCAAAGGGACAGAAAGCCTGGCTGAGCCTCAGTTTATTTCTCCATGGCATTTCTGCTTAGAGGGTTCCCAGACACCACCTGTGGACAGCCCCTAAAAGGACACTCACACGTGGTCTCATGTGGGCCTTTGCCATCTGGTAGGCTGGAGGCCCATTGATTAGTACACCCATTTTACAGATACGGAAACCAAAGTGCAAAGAGGGGAGTGGTATTGGGACCAGAATCTTGGACTGTCAACTTATAGACAGGGCACCAGGCCTTAGCCTTGTGGGTCTGCAGACCTTTAGGTCCCATTTTGTTTTTTTGAGACAGGGTTTTGCTATGTAGCTCAGGGTGGGCCTGAAGTCATTATGTAGCCCAGGCTGGCTTTGAACACACAGCAATTCTCCTGCCTGCACCTCCCAAGTGCTGGGATTATAGGTGTGCACCACCATGCCCAGCTCAGGTCCTACTTTTCGGCAGTCTCTGTGGAAGCAGACGGAGCCCTCTATCTGTAGGCTGTGTCATTCTCCTCGCTCCCTTACCCAGCTCCATCCGCAGGTGGCTCCTGTCATGTGCTCTCATTGGAGATAGATTTTTATGGGCAGGGGTGTGGTGTTGCAAAAGCCTACTGGGCTTTGTCATTCCCATCATATGGCTCTAGAGTTGTATGGCATGGTGACTCCACACAACCTCACAGGTCCTGCAGATCAGAGCTGCCACAGGTCTTCATGCAATGGGAAATCTGTGAATGGACAGACACCGCTGCCTAGGGATATAGAGTTACCAATGAATGGGTGCCACTCCTCAGGCCAGCAGAGCTACCAATAGATGGAGCCCATTGGCCAGGCACCTGGGTTACCCAAGCAGGGAGCTCCCTCTTGGTAGGTTAGAAAAAACATGAAGGCCCTCACCTTGAAAATTTGAGTTTTGCTGAGCAGACTGACATTTGATTTTGTGAGACAGTTGTGTGGTGGCACCAGAAGAGTGGAGAGCCCAGGAGCTTTGAATGCTTTCCATAGATCCATGAGGTTCCTGAGCCCATTTCCTCATTTGTAATGGGCTTTAATTATGTCTACCTCATAAATGTATTATGAGTATTCCATAAGAAATACCGACCTAATGACTGATCTGTCACCATGCTGCATATACATCAACTTTCCTTATCACCAATCAGATAGAGCCGTATCTGTTTACACGGGCATCTCTTCCTGGCTCACAGCAGGCAGAGTCTACTACCACAACCACTAAATGCTCACTTGCTTGAATGGTGCTTTTCAGTACTGTGCCTCCCACCCTGGCCTCCCCAGAGTGAACCTTGCCAGGTGCTGAACACTGCTTTCTGGGCAGCCCTGCCCGTCATTCAGCAAACACTTACCCTATCCAGACCTGCCTCATTTGGGAGACCCAGTGGAGGCTAGGACTGAAAAGCAAGCCCAGACAATGCTTGAATTATTATTTAGAGCCAATAGTTACCAAATTTTATCTATTTTTGTGTGTAGGGTCCTTTCCTATAAAATTTTTAAAAGACTCTGTGAACATTCTGTATATTTGATTGCCGTGATTAGAGCTCTTGGGGTATTTTTCAAGAATATTTTATGTAAAAGAGACAAGTGATAACTGTTTATACTTGACTGGTAACCATAGAGATGAAATTCCACTAGATCAAAGTATGAAAGTAATTAACTCCCTGCAAATTACAGTTGTTGAACTTATGCACAAAGACACACGACTTCACTCATGGGTATGCAGCCAAGGAAAAATCTCCAGGGGAAGGAAAAGAATTAGTGAGGACTTAACAGCAAAACCATGCTCTTGCCCCTATCTAGAAAGCAAGGTTCTCAGGGGCCTTGGTTTGGCCTAAGGGTTTTAGCCTTTGGAGCCCTCAAAGTCAAATGTGCCTTGACTCTCTTCTCCTTATTTCCACTGTTTCAATAGTTTTTGGGTCAGAGCTTATGGAGGTGGGTATTGAAATAAGCAGTCATGTCCAGATGTTCCTAGAGCTGACAGATGGTCATCAGGCCTTCCTTACCTGTGATCTCATTCATCACCTCCCTCCACTACTCTTTAATATGGACAAGGGGATTTGTCTTATTCTGTGTGAACTGCTAAGCATGCAGAGCCTCATGTTCCACTTTTAACCACACTGACCCCTCCTGAGTGTTACCCCATAGCTACTACACTATCACTTTGGCAGAGTGATGATCCCATCAGGGCCTCCTTCCTTCTTCTTTGTCCAGTGGCTCCCTCTGCCCCTGGATTTCAGCCCATGTGAAAGCCTTTGGAGATTGCTCCCTTTTGATGTAGTGCAATGTAGTTGAGTGCTTGGGGTGTACTTGGCAGTGGGCTGAAATCCACTGTGTGATCTTGGGTGAGTTGCTTAGTATTTCTATGACTCAGTCCGTGTTTGAAGAAAGAGCTAATAGTAGGTCAGTTGTGAGCAGATAATGCACGTAAAATCAAGGAGCACTGTTTCTGGCACACTGGGACAGGACTGTTACTAAGCCCAGTTTGAAGATGAGGAAGCAGGGGCATACAGAGGGTAAATGACTTTTGAAGGTCATGCTTAACCTTATAAGGCTGTTTTGAGGATTAAGGGAGTTAATGTGTTAAGACTTGGCTTTGACAGGAGAAAGGAGGGCACTGGGTTGCTGGGAGGTGGGGAGCTGGGGAAATAGATAGGAAAGTACAGTCTTACTTTGTTTTTTGAAGAGTGAACAAGACCTGGATATATTTGAGGGAAGGAGGCAGAGGAAGGATGGTGAGTTGGAAGAGTTACACCTTCTTTCCTTCCTTCCTTCTTTCCTTCCTTCCTTCCTTCCTTCCTTCCTTCCTTCCTTCCTCTCTTCCCTTGTTCATTCCATCCAGCAGATGTTCCTTGGTGCCCCCTTTGGCCTGTCTCTGTGCAAGGAACTGGAATTTAGGGGAGCAGCCTAGGATTCTAGAACCCACAGTCTTGCTTAGAATGGAGCAGCATTTCTGAGAACTTTGTAGAACTTCAAACAAAGTTTGAAGAATTTCAGAACAGAAAGTTTCTGAAGTACACAGCAATGACCTTGGGAAGAGCAATCTATTCCTGTCTGTCCCTGCCAAAGCATACCTGAGGGGGGAAAATCCACTTATATTTCTACACACTCCTCTCTCCCTTGGCCGAGTCCCTTGGGACTCAATATATCACTCATCACTGTGCTTTGTTTGAGTCGTCACGGAAACCTCTGCTGACTCCCTTGCAGCTTCTGATGCTGGGAACTGTAACTTTGGGTGTGATTTTTGATGGATTTAAAGTAGGTTAAAGTAATAAGGTAGAGGAGGCACTTCCAGGGCCCCCACAGGCTCTGATGCTGAGTCAGTGGTGGCTGCAACATTCTAAAGGAAACAGCTTAGGGCCGAGATGACTAAAATGGTCCTCCCACCATGGCTGGGACCTCTGTAGCACCTGCCTAGCCTCAAGGATGCACATTTGTGGACATGAGGGTCCATAGGTCAAGAGCAGTGGTACTCGAGTCCTCTGAAGGGTGCACCTTGGTCTGGGGGAGACGCAGAGAGGTCCCACTGGCAGGGCTGGGTTGAGAGGTAATGCCTCTTTTCTTCCATAGCCTGGTACCTTGGGCCCCTGTGCTGTCTCCTAACTAACTTTCCACTTTTTTAGTCTTCATTCTATACTCCTTTTTTCTGCTGCCTGGAATGCCTTTCCCCGCAGGGACTGCATCTGTTTTTTCCACTATTATGTCCCTAGATGGAATGCCTGGCACATGGAAGGCACTTAAATGTTTATTGATTGACTAACTGAATGGCTGAATGAACCCATTAATGTTTCTTTGGCTTCATGGCATTGTTACATAGGTGGGAAGTAAAAAAAAAAAAAAATCAACAACAAAAAACACCAGAGAATACAGGGCTGATCACTGGGGGCAATGAGTGACCTGGGGAAGTTCTGATAGCTGGTGTCATTCTGGAAGAGGGAAGTTATTTAATAACTCTGGATGCCATGGTGTTCATTTGTGACAATATCTTGTGCCTGCCTCTTGTCTTTGCAGGCTCTGGCAGGGTCATGTAGGAGCTCTGTGTGGCGTCTCACCAACAGGTGAGAGGATGTCTTCCCACAGGTACCTCTTGTTGCTGCTGCAGAGAAAACTGGCTTGTCCTCAGTTCGCTACCTTCCTGGAACTGCCAGGGACATTTTCCTATGTCCTTGAGCTGGTTCTGCATGCTTAATGTATCTTTGCTTTGCCTACCTGTGTAGGAGACAATACCTGTCTTGCCTCTCCCCATCTTGTTGGGAACCCAGGGTTTATGCTTCATTCCAAGAAACTTCCCTTTCTCCGTGAGCCTTTAGCATCCTCAGGCCTCAGGTCTCAACAGGTCAGAGGGAGCTGCATTCCTGTATTCCTGCAGACACCCTGTAAGGGTAGAAGAACTGACTTGAATCTGGCAGCGCTCACTTACTCAGTGACCCTGGGTGGTCACTTAATGTTTCTGGGCTGTAGTTTCTGCCTTTCACAGAGCATGGTCAGCGGTGTCTACTCCACAGGCTTATCGTGAGGAGTGACTTTAGTACCAGTTCCTTGCACAGTGCCTGCCCCTTAGTGGTCCTGGAAGAGGATCAAACAGCAGGCATTGATGTTCTTTCCAGCAGAGGGCAGGCATCAGTCCACAGACTTCCTGTCTCTGAACTGTAAACAATGTATACTGAGTCTGGGCCCACATGCATTAACATGAGCTCCACCCTGGGAGCCGCAGCTTTGGTGGACACAATAGGATAATTTATGTTTCCATCCTTATGTGCTAATATGTGCTGCTCAAAGGCTTGGGAAGATTCAGTGAAGCTGGACATTTCCCCACTTTTGTGTTAATAGTACAACTTCCCTAAACCATTACAAAGGAAAGGTACAGACATTCCATATCAAATCAGTGGGAGTCTATGATTTTACCCAGGGCAGTGAACTTATGCAGGCCTGGGATGGAATCAGCCCTCAAGGTCTCCCCAACCCCCAGTCACCATAAAAGAGCAGGTGCACAGTGATTTGATCATCTATACCCCTGGAGTTTTGAGTTGTTATGTTTAGTTACTAAATAGAATGCGTTTGTTTCTTATTGCAAGGAATTGTTCATTCCCAGCTGGGCTTTGTAGACATCAAACTCTTCCATGCAGTTTTCTTAGTAAAGAGCCAGCCCACTCAGGTGGATATATATCTGTCTGTCTGTTTGAACACCATTGTCTGTCGGTTCAGCCCTGGTAGCTAGAGGCCTTACTAACAAGAGTGAAAGAGCCAAGTGATGTTAACCTTTAGGAACCTGTGGGACCTGCTCATTGTCACTTCTCTTGGTCAGGTCTCCGCTGACGAAGTTAAACAGCTTCAGAAGAAGAAGAAAAAAGGCATCCCAGTCCCTATGCCCAGACCCACATAGTGGCTTGGGACTAATTGTGGAAAAGTTCCTTTTTGCCTGACTCCACCATGGGCTTACTGGGCTTCCTCTGCCTGCGCCCAAGGCTCCTGAGATTGCACTACATTCTTTGAAATTTAGGGATTCCAGACCCTAGCTGAGGAGCCTCCACCTGTACCCTCCAGATCCCCAGCTGTTCTGGGTTGTTTTCAGAAGTTACTTTTAAAAGGTGGAAGGTGAACGACTTCAGGCAGATGATGAGCCTAATTAAGCTTAATGCCTCCTGCAATTACCATGTAGGCTTTGAGGAGTGTTCCCTTCCTCTCTTTCAGCTCCAGGGCAGAAGGGAAATCCTGATGAGGCAGGACAGCCTCCCAGCAGGCTTGGTCCTGTCTCTAGTCACATCACTCAGATTGCCCCTCCCTGGGTCTCTGGGGAGCTCATCTCTAGAAGCTGGCAGGCTTGGGTGGTGACAGTCAGCTTCCTGCATGCCTCACTTAGGACCCAAGGAAGAGGGGTCAAAAGCAGGGTGTTGCAGGCCCAATGGGAGGACACAGCTCCCCAGTTCTCTTAGAAATAAGATGCTAATGATTCTGGGAGTCCTGACATTGTTCTATGGCTGTACCATGGCCAGGCCCACTCTGTCGCCTCAGCTGTGAAGCAGGAGGGGGCAGGAGAGAGATCTCATGCCACAGGCCCAAGGCAGGTCAGTGTCCCTGCTTCCTGCCCACGTCCAATCCCACAGAGGGGGAAGTGCAAAGCCTGGGGAAAGCAGAGAAGATGGGCGAGGGACAAAGAAATGAGGCAAAGAGCCACAACTTACTGAATGCTTGTGAGGTGCTCCATTCTTTGACTTGAACTATCTCATTTAATCCTTACAGGAATTCTGTGTGGTCCCTGTTATAGAAATGGAGGTCCAGAGCAGTTAGGAAAGTTGCCTAAATTCCCATAAGCTTGGGAGTAAGCCTGTCTGACTCCAGAATCTGACCTTTCCATCCCATGGATGAGGCACACATGGATACTCAACTGATTGAACAAGCAAACTATAAACAGAAACAAATACAACCCAACAGAAAGGCAGCTTGTACTTTTCCTGGCCCTGAGCCAGCTTGGGCCAGGTGCCTGATGTGTATCTATCTCTGCCGCCAGGCATCCCAGTAGCAGGTGTAGGTGCCCGTATTGGCGCAGGAAAGGAAACTAAGATAACAACCTTTTCTGCGTGAGCAATGAGTCAGCCAGTCCCAGGGCACAAGGCTCAGAGAGGTCAGGGTCAGAGGAATCTGCAACTAACAGTGCCTTGCTCTTACCATGGAGATCTCCTGTGCAATATTTTCCCTAGTTCATTATGAATAGCCTGTCTCAGGGCCTCACTTCTGCCTGGTAGCCAATGGTTTAGGTGACTTGAGAAGGCATTTTTTCCTGCAAGTGATCAAAGAGTAACTCAAAGAGCAGGGAGACTTGGGCTGGAAGGGACCTTGAAGTCTTTAACATGGCAATGTCCAAATCACAGGAGACCAAACTGGAGGGTTGTGGAGTGAGAAAAAGTCAAGTTTATCCTGTCCACAGAGGCTCCCAGCATGAAGTCAAGACATGATTTTGAAGGCAGACAGCCGAGCGAGAACTCCAGCTCCCCATTGCCTGCTCTGTGACCCCTCAGTGTCCCCAGCTGCAGATGGCATAATAATAACACTCACCCCATAGGCCTGCCGTGAGGGATTAATGCCTGTGAAGCACTCAGAACAGTGTCTGGTACAGAGTAAGTGCTATGTGGGTGTTTGTGAAAAATAAACACGGGGCATCATTGAAAAATGCTTTTAAGTAATTTTAGGTGAGAACTGTAGGATGCAAAATTGTATACATTATGCTTCTAATTTTATTTGTATATGTACACTTATATAACTGTGAATAATGACTATGTCTATGTTATAAAAATTTGGACTTTTTTCTCTTTAAAACATTCTACATTTTCTGTTTCTACAGTGAATATGAATTACTTTATGATTTTTAAAAATCATATTTAAAAATATAAAAGTCACTTCATGCCAGACTCCAACTCCATTATGATTCCAAGATCAGTTCTAAACACTGAATACTGTGCTCCTCCTCGAGGTTGCATGTTCTTGTTCGGAGACATTGAAAGGTATTGTGTGTCTGCATGGGAGAATCTGATGGGGAAGATTTGGGTCATGCCTGTTTGACTGCCTTATCCATGGCCAGTATGCCCAGGGAGAAAGGCTGGGTATGGCCTACACTTTTCAGGGCCTCGATTCTCTTGAAGGCTCCTATCTCCTGCCTGCACAAATATTGCAAGTATCCGGTAAAGAGTGGATACTCTTGACTGAGCTTACTTTGAGTACTTGTTTTCAAGAAATATGCACATCTAACATCTTCACTGCTGTTGCCTGTCTTTTGAGAGCTGGATCATTCTAAAACACGTCTTTGAAGATGCTAGTGAACTTGAAATTTGCCCTAAATTCAGAGCCATTGTGGAGAATTCAGCACTGTCTTGACTCCCTAGGAAAAGACTGATTTTTGTCACAGAAAATGCAGATTTGAGGAGGTGGTCTTCTGGCTTTGGAGAGGATTTTTATTTTCAAAGAGAAGTTTGTTGGTGGAAGCCAGCATTTCACAGATCATTGTATTATTTTCAGATTTAAGATTCAATTTATGTAAATGGGCTAAGTTCTCTCCTAAACAATGCCACTTTAGAAGACTGTGAGGACAATCAAAGCCCACGAGGAAAGAAAAAAAAATCTGGCTTTTTAGCAAGGATGGACTGGCTCAAAAATCCTTAAGCTGGACTTGCACTAACATGCACCCCTGTCAGGACTGAACCTGCCTCTGGACAAAGACCAGTTTTGCTGGCTCACATTATACAAGTCTTATGTTTTCTTTTGAACAAAATGCTCTTATTTTCAGAGAAATGATCAGAGTTATAGGTCTATCTCGATAAGGCAGAAGAATGTGTTAATTTGGGTTCAACTCAAAGTGAATTCGAGATTCCAGAAATTATAATGGTTTGTTAAGACTTGACTTCATTTTTCAACTTTCTATTTTAAATATCTGAGAAGCATTTATCTGCAGATCAACTATAGGAAGTTTTTAATTCTATGTCTGCAGAGTACTTCAAGGTCACAGCCTGGCTGTTTGTGCTTTGTAGCAGCCTCTTTTCATCCTCATCACTGCCCTGAGATCCAGCATGTTGTCAAGTTTGTTTAGAATGTAAGAAACCCAGGCTCAAAGATATTAACCGGCTTGGCTGAGGGTCCCTACCTAATGAATGGCAGACCTTGAATTAGAACCCAGCCTTTTTGCTTCCCAAATACCCAAGATCCACTGCCTTCCCTGGTGCACAGCACACCTTCCCTGCCAGGGCCAGAAAATTGGCTGGGGTTGTGTGCTTGACAAAAGACCAGCAAGGGAGTTACTTGGAAAAATAGCATCACGGCTTCAGGTGCCTTTGTTTTTGTGGCCTCTGAACAAATCTCCCAGCCATAAAGGAGAGGTTTTTCAGGCCTGGAGAAGCTGCTTTGAATGTGTATTTGGTTTGCTTTGACAGTTCAGAGGAACAATAAAATGGATAAAATTACCACAATGGCTTATAAGAGAGTAAATTAGAATTCTTTGTTGATAAAGCCCATAATTCTCTACTGTTTCCCTCTTCTCCTGAGTCCACTGTGTGTCCTGCTGTATGACCACTCCCAGGCTAGTCTTGCCCTCAGGAAATCTTGCCGAGTGGACATAGCCTAGATCCTAGGACCTCAAAGTGTCCTTGGAATTGGCTTGCTTCCCCCTCCTGCTGCCTTCCAAAGGCACTGCTTCTCAGAAACTTGGATTTCTTTATTTATCCCAGTCACTGGTTTGAGTCACTGGTTTAAAGGAGAATGTTCTCCAGCCCCTTATCTTCCCCTATTTCTTGTACTGTTGGCCTTGAATTATCAACGGGGAAAAACAGGAGGTATCAATGGTCAAATTTAATGGTGACCTACTTATGAAGTTCCATCTAGATCTATGAACACAACTGTTCCTCATTCATTATGGTTTGGATCCTAAATGTTTCCTGAAGGCCCAAATGCCAAAGGCTGGGTTACTGGCCTGTGGTGCTACTGGGAAGTGATGGGACCTTCAGGAGGTGAGGCCTACTGGAAGAAAGTTAAGTCACTGGGGACATGTCCTTGAGAGGATATTGGAACCCCTGTCTATTCCTTTGTTGCTCTTTTTTTCTTCCTGGTCACCATGAAGTGAGCAGTTTTGCTCCGCCACATGAAGTGGGCAATTTCGCTCCTAGCCATGATGTTCTGCCTTCCCACAGCCCAAAAGCAGATCAAGTGAAACCTCTGAAACCATGAGCTGAAATAAACCACTCCTTCATTGTGTTGATTTTTCTTAAGTATTTTGTTACAGTGATGGACACAGTGATGGCTAACACAGCAATCAAAGGAGACCAACTCACTTCCATGCACGCATACATGTGTGCATCCATACAGCTCCTTGTGTATAGACTTATTCACCTGTCATTTGTTACTCTGGGAATTGGAGTACCTGCTTGTGCTTGGTCTTTTGTTAACAGGTGGTGTGAACCAGTGATGAGGACTATGAAGTTTACTGCAGGGGAGATCCCCAAAACCACCCTCTGGAATAAGACATGTTGTGATCATAGAAATATAAGACACACATTCTACTGGTGATTGCCTTTGGATGAGGAATGTACATGCTTCTCAGAGTATATATATGTTTCCCGATTCTACATGAAATAAGTTAAAATCACTGGAAATTGCATTAAGAGAGCAATTTCTGTAGCTAAGGATTTCTTACTGAAATTCCTAGGAAATTTGTCTTGGAGATTTCATAAGGGGCCTGTTTTTACTTTGAATACATAAATCATCATGATAGTGGAGGAAAGAGGCAGAAGTGGTTTATTTACTGGGCTGAAGTCAGATTTGAATTCTGGTTTCATCTCTACCATTAGTTTTTGTGAAACCTTGGTTAAATGTTTTCATTTTTAATATAGAGATTCTACTTGTTTTCATAGTTCACAAGAATAGTATGCAGATATGAATGTGCTTGAGATTGTTTTAAACAAATAAATGTAAGGTAGTGGAAGGTGCACAGTTGAATGAATCTTTGGCCAAAGAGTTCAAGCTTGGAGACTTGTTCAGGGCCATTGAAACCAGCAGACCTGCTGCTTAGTTTGTCTGGGACAGTCCTGATTTATGGCTGAAATCCTGGTGTAAGTATTAAGATCACTCCCCTTTTTCTCACAAAACTCTCTTGGTTTGGAAGATAAACTACACAGCCATTATGTTTTAGGTTCACCATGTGCTGGTATGGTAGCAGGAGCAGGACTGGACTCAGTCATAAAGATCAGTGCTTAAATCTATATAGCTCAAGGCATAGGTGAGCAATTGCTGTCTCAAAAGAGGGAGGAATCTGCTTTTGGCTTGGAATGTCTCCAGGTGGGCCAGCTAATGATGTGGTTCCCAGAAAGGAGGATGTATTTGAGGAGGGGCAGAATTCCACATGGGGCGGCACTCCTCCCCTTCCAGCTTGCGTGGGAACCCCCAGAGCATGTGCCGGTGCATGCATAATGGTAATACCTGAAGGTGGTGTGACAGGACAGGATTACTCCATCGCAGCTGGCTCTAAATGCTGTAAGTGGGTGGGCTGGTGGGATGTGGAAGGTGCCTTCTTCCATTCCCACCCTAGTCTCCTTGGGCTGGCCAAGCTGGGCCAGGAAGAAGACTGAATTCTCCCTGGTGTCCAAGACCCCTGACTTCTGTCAAAAAGAGAACAGTTTGTATCTTTTGAAAGAGTTGCTGTTTCCTGGAGTGGCCTGGAACACATCCTCAGCTCTTAATTGGAGAAAGGAGTGTGAAGGGGCCATGGTCCTTTAATAGGGTGTGTTCATCAATTGGAGATTTTATTTAAAAACAAGGGCTGACATTTTGGAAGCTGAGATTCAATGGACACAAATTGGCATCTCCTGGAGGTGGAAGGGGCATGGGTCTTAGAATCATACCAGCTGAGCTGTAACTATCGCTTTGCTATCGATCCTTTATATGGCTTTGGATAGTTGTGCTTCCTCCTAAACCTGCGTTTTTCATCTGTAAATTGGGGCCCTTACCCAGTAATCTCATACTTTACCTACACTTCACTCAGGAAGTTAGGGAACTTTGCAAAGTCATAACATTGCTTTATTTACTCACCAAGAATACACTGAGCACTTGTCATACAACATAAGGTGGGTGCCAGGAATACAACAGTGACTGAGATGGCCCCCTCGAGCTCTTGGCCCCCTAGAACTGTAGAGAAGAGACTAATGTGAACCAGCAAATAAGTGGGCAGATGAAATGGTTGGTTACCATGTTACATGGTATGAAGAAAACGTACAAGGTTCTGAGGTAGAGCAGAAGGGAGCTGGGTAAGGGAAGAGGGTACTTCTTAAATAGTGTGATCAAGAAAGACTCATCTTCAAGGGTAACCTACATACTAAGTTGTGAGCAAGAGGAGACAGAGGTGCAGAACTGCAAAGCCATGTCCTAGGCAGAAGGACACACATTGAGCCCCGTTACCATCTCTGGCACGTGGCTTACAGATCTTCCTTACAAAGACCATGGGAAGTAGACTGAGCCCATTTGGTTAAGGATTATATCTGCCTCTAAGATAGATAATTAAGTGGAAAACAAAAGGTGTAGAGGAGTGTATAATTACCTATCACCAATATAAAAAAAAGGGGATTTGTGTATATTTATATACACAGATATCTCTAGAAGGACACAGCAGAAATTGAT